CAGTCCAGGTAAAATAGCACTGCCATTCCTAGGAGCAGGTCTGAGGCCCTCATCTTAATTGTATCTAATGTTCAGTGTTCCAGGACTGGTCTGTATGGCTTGTGATCAACTTATTATGAGAGAGAACCTGCTGTATGAACCTGAGTTTGGTACGTGGCGTCTTCTGTTACCACATACAACTTAAGTCCAGGCCTTGCAAATAAGGACACAGGTTGAAAGCAGCACTCTCAGAATAATAAATGATTTGCTAATGGCCAATAACTTGTCACTGAAAAAGTGTGACTTTGAGCTCTGGGAAGACACTGTTTTGTGTAGAGCAGCAATGGCTAAGCAACAGGAAAAACCAAAACAGAACAAAAAAACTCCAACAGATGTGCAACAGGATCAGGCACCTGTCTGGGCCTGGGAAAGTACCATCCTGTGCTACACAGTCCATAGTCTAGGCATGGAGGACAAGGGGTTAGATCTGTCCAGAGACCAACACATCTTATAAAAAAAAGATCTTGAATGTAGGAGGTGGGCTAAATGATGCCCACCTTTGTTCCAGACGCCCTTCCGGAAGGGTTCTCAATTCCCCTGACAGCTGCACCAGCTCCAGCATATTTGTAAACTCACAACTAACTTAGGTTATGAATATCAAGAAGAGATTGCTTTGAATATGTAGTGATAATTATTATTAAAGATTAGGAACTAAACATAAGGAATGTGCATTATTAACAAGTAACAATCTAGTAAAGGGGATTGTTTAAAATTCATCTGGGTTACCAGTCTTCTAAACAATCACAGCAATCTCTAATTACCCAGGGACAGATAGACAAAATACATGCCACTGTGGAGTTGCAACACAACTTTCCAGTGTTCAAAGGGCATTTGGATGCAGATCAAATGGCTTCTGGCAAACTTATGCCATATTACAGGCCACAGGAGATTGGCTTACAGCTACTGGTAGCACTACTTATCTTTTAACTCCATGCTTTAATCTGGTCTTCTGTTCTGCAGTTTTATGGGCTTTTCACAGGATCACAGAATCATTTAGGTTGAAAAAGACCTCCAAGATCATCGAGTCCAACTTTTGACCAGCCACCACCTTATCAACTAGACCACGGCACTGAGCGCCAGGTCCAATCATTTCTTGAACACCTCCAGCGATGGTGACTCCACCACCTCCCTGGGTAGCATAAGGACATAAGGATAATTTTGTCAACAACATCTGTCAGTTTTCCACAACTGATGTCAAACAATAAATACAGTGCTTGATTATTGTCTTGAGATTTTTTTCCTGTGTTTTAACTTGTTTATGGGTCCTGTGTCCTATGAGCACTATTAATTAAAATTTTAGCACTTTTACAAGGAAATGGTTTTGCTACATCTGGCCCAGAAATGAGGCAGAAACTCGATCCTTGGAAAAAACCCTTAATTTTCCATATAGCTCAGATAATACACAGCTGCCTTCACCAATAAAAGAAGCAGCTGTATACACATTCTCCAGAGCCAGACAACACAACTAATAAACTTAGACATTTAAAACTATGACGTGTAAATATTGAGTGTATCTTGAATATACTGTATATAACCTTTCACCCTCTCCTCTGCCAAGCAGTTACTCTATGTCTTCAATGAGGATAAAAACAAACCAAAACTCACTACAAGATGTATCTTTATTCATTCTTTTCCAGTCCCCAAAGAAGACAAACCCTGACCTTTTGATACTTAAACAAGTCTTCACGTAATTTTCATTCCACTAAGCAAAAGTATTTCATCTTTTACACAGCAGAATTTTTCTTGTCTACTAGACTCTTGCACAGTGACAAAAAGGATGATAAATAGGACAGCATCTCATTTGGCAGTGCAAAGCAATCTTCCCTGTTAATTACAGACATATGAGGACATTAATTTTAATTGTTTTAATAACCACAGCTAAAACTAGAATATTTGCTAAATGGCCTACAGGAATATAAAGGCTGTGTTGAATTCCAGTCCTTCAAGGAATCAAATACACCTTTTAAACATGTTTGTATATATTTGCCTTTCTCATATGTTGCAGATTTTCCATAGAGACATGCATTCCTCTAAATTCCCACATTCCAACACAAGAATGTATGGATTAGACAACAAAAACATACAGCTCGTGATCACTGTTAACTGAACTACTGTTATAATACTTCATTGAGGACTGGGACAATCCACAAAGGCTATGAACTACATGGTAGAAAACAGAAAAAAGAACACTGCTGCAAAATACAGGTCCAGAATATCTGAAGGATTTTCTTGAGTTAAAGTGGTAAAATTCTAATTAATAGTATTCGTAGGAGATAGGACCCCTAAACAAGTTAAAACACAAAAAAAATATGGTAAGATAATAATCAAGAAATCTACTTTAAGTTGGCATCACTTACGGAAAGCTGACAAATGTTGCAGAGGAACTCTGAGTAAGGAAAACTGATGGTTCATTTGCCAGCAGTCCAACATCTAGCAGATACAGCTTGCGCACCAACCCTTGAAAACGAGGGATAAACCTGAGCTTATTATCCTTAACCTCAGACCACTTAAGGAACTACTGAATGACTAAGGAAGTTGTTACTACTGGGGAAAAACAAACAAATCCAGAACTAGTGGCAAAACATCAAAATGGTTGCCACAACGACCCCATGGAGCACTACAGGTTGGGGACAGAGTGGCTGGAGAGTGGCTAGGCAGAAAGGGATCTGGGGGTACTGACTGACAGCAGGCTGAACATGAGCCAGCAATGTGCCAAGGTGGCCAACAAGGCCAATGGCATCCTGGCCTGTATCAGGAATAGGCCAGCAGGACCAGGGAAGTGATTTTGCCCCGGTACTTGGCACTGGTTATGTTGCACCTTGAGCACTGTGTCCAGTTCTGGGCCCCTCAATTCAGGAAGGATATTGAGGTGCTGGACCAGGTCCAGAGAAATGCAACGAAGCTGCCTTGGAAGGGTCTGGAGCACAAGTCCTGTGAGGAGCAGCTGAGTGAGCTGGAGGTATTCAGCCTGGAGAAAAGGAGGCTCAGGGGAGACCTCATCACTCTCTACAACCACCTGAAAGTAGGTTGTAGACATGGGGAGGGGGGGAAATCTGTTTCTTCTCCCAGGCAACAAGTGACAGGACGAGAGGGCACAGTCTTAAGCTGTGCCAGGGGAGGTTTAGTTTGGACATTAGGAAGAAGTTCTTTACAGAAAGAGTGATCAGACATTGGAATGGACTGCCTGGGGAGGTGGTGGAGTCACCGTCTCTGGAGGTGTTTAAGGAAAGACTGGATGTGGCACTTAGTGCCATGGTCTAGTTGACATGGTGGTGTTCGGTCAAAGGTTGGACTCAATGATCTCAGAGATATTTTCCAACCTAACTGATTCAGTGATTCTGTGAAAATGCTGAGGAGCTTTAGTCTAATTTCTGACACCTACACAACAAAGCTGAAATATATATAACTAAGAGAGTCTAAGTGTATGTTCCTGCTTGATTTTGAGCATTCAGAAGCATTATAATTTTCTATGGTTTACTGCTTGGTGAGCATTTAAAAAATTGTTAAGGAAAAAAAATCATAATTATTTTAACTCTCAGGACAAGTTTATCAATTAGCAGGAAAATTTTTCTCTTTGGGCACTTAAGAACAGAACATAGATAAGGAAAAAAAGTAAAGAGGTAGGTCATAAAGAAATTAAAATACTACCAATTAGAGAGAGAATGATAATATCGTCCTAATTTGGAAGGGAAGACATCATTAAAAGAAAATGACAGGAAAAAAATTTAAGAAATAAGAATATTGGAAAGTCTATAGAAAGCCACAGAATAACAAAAGACCTGGATGAGCATCTCAAAAAGTGGCAGATAAAAATTGACAATATATGACTTGAAGGAGATAAATTTGATAATTTTTTCCTTCTGTATTGAAATACTCTGTTCAAATTCTTCCCCCCCCCATTTTCATCCTACACTCGCTCCTTTTTGGAAAAAGGCATTTAAAAATGAAAGAAGCTGCAATTCCCTTAATAGGAAATGAGGGGCCACTTTAAAATGGAAGTGGGAAAAGAAGGGCACAAAGAAACACTCAACTCAATGCCCCAGTGCTCTCCATATTCCAGAACGAGTGACTGCTTCTCTACAGGTTCTTTAAAGGAACATTCAGAGACCACATGCTTTCTAGTAAGAAACCATAAACCAGGTTTCATTCCACTGTAAAACATTTAAGGTAAGGATGGATCCCACTATAGATATATACTTACAGCTTGTTCATTTCTCATTCCCACATATTTTATTCCAGCTGCCTGGGCTGCAATTGCAATTTCAGTGACTGGAATACCAACAATGCCAAACATGTATTCAATATTCTATAAAGAAAAATGTTAGAAGAAATCAGATTTTTTTTCCCCAAAAGACAGCTTTAATAAGCACATGCCAAACACAGACACGCTAACAACACAGGCAGTCTAAAACTAAAATGTAACAACATATATGGTCACACAGAAGTTTAGAGGTCACTGTGGAAACATACACAACGCCAGCCGGTATTTCCAGCTCAGCCCTCTGTGATTGTGAAAGCCTTGGATTCTGGAGGCCCACAAGGAGTGGGACAATGGTTCAGTGCCTCAGTCAACATATGTTCAGTGCTTTCTGCTGATCAAGTCTCACTTGGGACTTCTCTGTCACTTTCCTGTTTCCCGATAAGTCAGCTTCACCTACTCTCATGGCATCCCATGTTTTTGCACTTTCACAGCAAACAGACACCAGAAAGGCCCCAGGCAATAACTGGGATAGTACCGTGCACAAAGAAACGCTGAGATAAAGAAGACTGTTTATTTTTATTACAGTCAAGCGCCCTTTCTCTGTGTGTCACAGGCTAAAGGCAAAGTCTTCTGTCAAGGCCGGTGTCAGGTCAGCACCAGCTCGAGTTCAGAGACAACAGAGAGTTTTGATCACTGTAAAGGAGGCGCAGGAGGCACATCCAGCTGCCACGGGAAAAGCCGCGGAGGGCTGTCGGCACTGCCTGGCGGTAACGGGGAAGGGGGCTGAGCTCGGGAAGGGGCAGGTTTGGGAAGGGGCGAAGAAAGGAATCAGTGCGGACCTGTGAAACGCCGCCCTCGGGACAGGGGTGCCCGGCAGCACCGAGACCAGGCGGGGCCAGGCTGGTCCCGGGGCCGTGCGGCGGGACCTCCCTCCCTCCCTCCCACATAGCGGCGGGGCGAGCCTTTCCCGCCCACTCCCGGTGAGTCCGGCCGCGCACACTCGTTCTCCGCGGGCGCCCGCGGCCCGGCGGGCGCTGTCCCTGCCCGCTGGTTGCCAGCTCCCCGCCCCGCGCCCTCACCTGATCCCGGAGGGCCTGGGCGATGAGCTGCGCCCCGCTGAGCTCCTCACCCTCCATTGCGCCGGCACCGCCGGCCCAGGCCCGGCCGAAGGTCGGGGCAGGTGACTGACAGCCCGCCCGGCCAATCAGGCGGTGGGGGGCGGGACCGAGGACCGCGGGTACCACCCCTGCCCTGGGGGCGAAGCCTAGGGGAGCTCCCGATTGGCCAGAGCGGGCAACCAATCAGGAGGCCGGGAGGCGCCGGCCCCCAGCGTGAGGTGGGAGCGGGACGGGCCTTCCCGGCTCCCGCCGGGAGCGGGGGCGGAGGGGCGGGATGGGGAGGGAGCGGCCTCGAAGAGGGCGAGGCGCGTTTATTGCAGGCCTGGCCCGAAGGTTTGCGTGAGCCGCTGGGCCTCGCAGGTGCCCCGGGCTGCCACCCTGAGCGCTCCGGCGCTGTGGGGCCGGTCAGAGATGGCGAACGCGGAGCGGGGCAAAGTAGGGGAGGATTTGGCGTGGGGGTGCCCGGCGCCGGCGCTCATGGGGAGGAGTGTGGGACATCTCACCAAAATCCCAGATGAGCGATGGCGCACAGCCATTTCCTGGCTCGGCCCGTTCCGGCACGTGTGGCAGAAGTGACACGATTGACAACAAGTCCCTGCCCCACCCTCCCCTTGTCCAGCCAAACCCCTAACAATAGCAGCGTTCCGTTCCCCCTCACTCATCAAACAACAACAAAAAGTAGATAACGAAACATAGATAACATAAAACCTTTGCAAAACGTACATAGCAAAATAGTGTAATCAAATGCAGCAAATAAAAGCAGTAGACAGGATGTATCAGTGGGAAAAAAACCTTGAATTTCACTATGTATATTCTTATTATATGTTGTATAATATATAATAGAATGCCAGCAAAATCACAATCCACGGATATCATACAATGTGAAAAAGTCTTTGTTTTTTTAATAGCATTTTAATATTTGCCTAGTAATTATTACTTTTTATGTTACTGTCATTACTGCTTATGTTACTATCATGTTACTTATTGGTACTGTTTATGTGACTGTACTACATGTTGGGCATGGCCTAACATGCATTTGCTGTTAATCACTTGAGGACCCAGACGAGTGCTGTGCTACCTGTGTTATTTTTGTAGTCTGTTGGATTATTGTGAGTACAGAAGTACTAAGAAGCAGAGTATGTGTTGCTTTTGTGTGTATACATCCAGATGTGGTGAGAGGTGACATTCTAAGTTTCCAAGGCTGTTGAAAAGCGAGTGAATGGATGCTTTACTTCATGACATAAACAACAGAATTTGTTGATTAGATAGTTCTGAAAAGCTGAATAAGAAGAGTCTGCAGTGGGATTGCAGGGTGAACTTGGTATCCAAACTCAAACACCAGTCTTTTTATCCTTTGTGTGGAAGGAATATAAGTGAATATTGTGACTGGATGACAGTAATAGTGCTATGAAATACTTGTATTTGGGTGAGATGATCCTGCTGGAGCCTCTCTGCCAGGCAACAGACCACATAAATCACAGGAAAGGGACAGAAGAAGAGATAAAATTAATAAAGCATTTCAGTTCATGAAAATTTAAAGTTGTAGCTCAGGTGAGGTGACAGCTCTATAGACCCTAAGCAAATTAACTTCTCCTTAAGGAAAAGATTTATTAGATGGTGTAGCATTTTCCAGTGAGAAAAAAATCCAGAATGTGGCAGAAACATATTTGAAATCTCAACAGCCTAAGGGCTGAGTAAACCCCATTGGTATCCTTACTTTGCTGGAAAGGTTAACATACCCAAGCCCAGCCTTGGGGCTTGTCACAGCTCTCCTTATTAGGAGCAATTGTTTAAACTGTCAAACAGGGGAAGAGGCTTTGGGGAGCACTCACACAAGTGCTCACCCACTCTGTAGAACTAGCAGTAATCACAGCCAAGGGAAAGGACTTGGAGGAATTATTGTAGTTATTATTTTAGTTGGCCTAGGTTTAGCAAGATGGGATTGTGTGCATGTTGCATGTTTGGTGCTAAACCTCTTGTGCCTCTAAATGAGGAAGGGACTCAGATTAGTACTTTTGAGTGTTTCTGACCACCAGAAAATGAACTGTGGCAGAAAAATAAGAATTCTCCAAGCATGTTTGTAAAATACAACATTTTGTAGAAGCCTGTTAATTTTTTCTGTTGGTGCGTTTGGCTTAGAAGGCAAAAAGGCGATTTTTCTAATGCATAGCAATTCCATCTCGTGGTCTGAAACTCTCCAACTCTTTCCATCCATTGTAATGATGAATTCTAATTACATCTTAGTTGACAGCTTTAGTGAAGAGCAGCTGACTAGAACCCATTCCTGTCCTAAATAGGCATTTTGGCTCTGAAGCGGTGACGGAAATAGAAAAGTGTTTTGTCAGTGAAGTGCCACACAGTTTGTTTATTTTCAGTAGGTTCCTTAACTGTGAGAGGTTTCCCACCCCTCTTCTCCCTCCCTCTGATATTGCTTTATATTTTCACATGTGCTTCAGTATTTCATTTGCAAAGCTGAGATGCACAGGGCAGACCCCTCTGTTCTTGATTTGTGTTGCCAAATCACCCCTCGTAGCTACTAGGTGTTTTCCTCAAGATGCAGAATAGCAAGGGTAGCTGATTGTACATCACTTCAAAACTGTTTATATAAATGCAGTATCTTTAATCCATCTGATTACAGACATGCCATGGATTTATTTGGTTTTTATTGTTCTTTAAATAAATTTACCCTTGAAGGCATGTATGTATGGACACTTCAGCTAATTAAAGCTCAAGGAAATATGAATATGTAGTTGAGTTTAGCAGCATCGAATACCTAAGTTACTCCTGGACCCTTGTAAGTGCTTTTATTACATGTTAAAACTTCTAGGTTTAGCAAACATATCTTCTGCCTGCTATGGGCACTAAGGTTATGATTTTGCTGTCCTACATGAGATTGTGTTGCTATCAAACTAGTGTTGCTAACGGCATGTAGAACTTGTGGAAGTAAACAAGTGACTTAAACTAAGTACTTACTATTTTTTTTTTTCAATTTGCTCATTGTTGGTGTTTGGGTAAAAAAAAGCCCACAGCGATATTGAGGATTGCTCAATAAGCTGGGTTTTGTCCTGGAATTTATGCAAAGAAATATTTTCATTTAACTTGCCATAGACTTTCTTTCTTTAGGTACAAAACTACAATGTAATATGAATAAAAATAAGACTGGGATTAGTTGAGAATTGATCTTTTTTTCCTGTTGAACTCCTAGTAGGAATGAGAGAAGGCTCTTCATGCGTGTATCTATCAGTCTGTATTTGCTTTGAAAAAATTCAGGAGTTGTGGATTAGAAAGACTGCAGGGCATTAAGAGCATTTTGGAACATTTTTTTCCCTAGATAAGAGTTCCCAAAGAGCAAATACAATCAACAAGTCAGTGACTGAACTTACGGGCTGTCAATACGTAGCATTAGTGCCTCTCTCCTGCATGCTCTTTCAACTTCACTAATATTTGTGGTTTAATTCCTTAATGATAGTAGTAACAATGTAGTGGTAGATGAAGAATTCTCATACTGTGAGAACAATTCTGAAGAAAAGAGCATTTCTATAGTATTTCTGAAGTGTTGCATTCATTGTGTCAGTCCTTGTTCTGTATAAGTAGTTTACTAACTTGGGAAATCAAAAGGCTACATGGCCCATATTGCAGAGTGCCCCAGCCTTTCAGAGTCAATAATTCTTAATTTCTTTCTAAGAAAAGCTCAGTAATGCAAATTTTCTCCATTTTGTATGAATTTTTGATTTATTGTTATTACTATGAAAGCATTTTTAACCTTACTCATCTGCATTGTATAGGAGGAATGCGGATCTGAATTGTACTCAACATTTTTATAGATGTTCCAAAAAGCTGCACTGTAGGAAAAATATTTGCCTTTTACATATGTGGAGTTGGAAAGCCTAACTCCATAGTTAACCCTAATCCATAATCCATTAGGAGAGGCATTTTCATGATAAAAAGATAGATAAATGCAGAACTAGTGTCTGATATAATTTTTCTGGCAATCATCTGTTTCAGTATTGATAAAATAAGTTCTGTTTCTACTTGACTACTAAATGCAGTGTTCAAGTAATTTTAGGAAATGCTAGTTTTAAATACATCCCCCATCACCAAATAGCGGAGGAGATGCAAATTTGTGAGCTGGTTTTAACTTTTCCCAAAGATGCTTTGATATATGGTGAAATAATCTATAAATGAATGTTAAAGTTAATTGTAAAGGGAGACCAAGCAAAGAGATCAGTAGAACTATATATGAAGCTAAAATGCTTTTAAACAGGAAACAGTTATTTAAAGCACTAGTATAGATAGATTTAAGGTTTAGAAACAATATGCATGTGGTCATTCAGGAATTTAAGAACACCACACTCAGTTCAAATACTGCTAAGAGTCTCAGTTACTGTCTGTATTTAATCATAAATTTAAAATCCTGGCATGATATTTTGCTCAAGCTTCCCCCACCCCACCTGTTTTCTTTTTTCCCCTCTAGATTTATGGCATACACCATGGTGCATCTGTGCTGGAAGCTGTCCATCTGCTTTTTCTTCTATCAAGTTGTCTCAGGAAGAGTCAGGAGGGAGGGGCATTACGTTGCCGCCGTGTACGAGCACGAGTCCATACTGAGTCCCAACCCGACAGTCCTGGTGGATCGGCGCTCCGCGCTGGATCTCATGGGCAAGAACCTCGACATCTACGAGCAGCAAGCAGTGGCTGCTGCCAGACAGGTATTGCCACAACTTGGAGCAGTTGTGTGTGCCTTGGGGATATATGGAGTAGCTGCTTTTTGAAGATAATCTTTTACATTTATGTTCCCAAGCAACTAAAGCTATATTTACATACATAACTATGGTCTGGGTTTTCAGACACTCTGACCTGCCAGCAGCTCTGAAAAAAAATCAGGCCAGTTAGCATCCCGCCTGGCTCGGGTTATTCCAAGCTTGGAAAAACACGCCTATAGTTATTTAGTATAGGGAAATTAATTTTCTATTTTAGTCTGAATACCTAGCTCCTTTCTGTTTTCTTAAATGGAATGTTTTCACTGAAAGATTGTCTTACGGGCAGCTGTCTTTGGGTTTGATTTTGTTCCAGTGCTCTCACTGGAAATTCCTGAATGTTTCTAAAAGCTAAGGAAGTTAAATGCTTTGGAAATTAATGTTCCACCATTAACAATTTTGTGGAACTAAAGTTTTCCATTCCTTTCTCCTACCCTACCATGGAATGGTTCTCAGTCTAAATATATTTAGAGGAGAGACACTAGTATTTCTGGCTATTTTTATGCAGAGCACCCTTTCTTTCCCTCCCTGGGAAAACCTGAACTGGTTCTGGTCAAAGGAAGCAACTGTTACTGTCCCTACACAGACAAGAATTGACCTGCAATTTTTACAGATCTGTTGATTTGGGAAAGAATAGTTACCATTTTTGTATAATTTTGTATAATTTTTTTAGACATTCAGATGACTGCACAGAAGCATAATAGCTATTTTTACGCAGCACTGCACCCAAGACCCATAAAGCATCCCAAAGCCATAGCATAGATAATACATTTGAACTGACTTCTGAAAAGTAACAGGAATTTGAATGACTGATGCTCTGACTGATCTAAATGGAATCCACCTCATTTTTAGGAACAGTTCAGCTCTCCCTGAACTTCAGGTAGACCCAGCCTAGCTCTTGCATGGCTACATTTCTACCAGACTCTGCACTGCTTCCACTGTTAAGCTGTTTCTGAAGTTATTAGTCCCAGTACCCCGTCCAACCTTATATACCTAATCTATTAAGTGATGCTGCACTCACTTTTGATACAGGTACAGCACCTTTGACAAAGTTCATCTGCAAACAGCATAATTCTGATAAAAAAATTAAGACAAGTTTTTAACATCATTAGTCTTTAACCTGAATCACGTCATTCTCATGACTTGTGTGAAGGGAGAACACTTTTGGCAAGAATTTAGATGAAGTCCTGCTCTTATTTGCATGCCCTTAAAATAACGTCAAACACATTATTTTTCTAGATAAAGGTATGTGCTACATAGTTACACCTACTATGAAGTCGAAGAAAAAATACTTTGAAGCTGCATTATTGGCAAAACATAATTGGATTATACTTAACTTTCTTTAGCTCTTCCTACCCATGAGATCCCCTCTTTTCCTTTGCTTTGCCTACAAAACATGTATTTGTTTTACATACAGGGGGCACAGATCATTGTTTTTCCTGAAGATGGAATCCATGGCTTCAACTTCACCAGAAGCTCCATTTATCCTTACTTAGATTTCGTTCTGCATTCGCACTCTGGGAAGTGGAATCCGTGCAGAGAGCCCTATTTGTTCAATGACACAGAGGTAAACATAGGAGTGATTGATGTCTGCAGGGGTGGAATAACTAAATGCTAGGTTTGTGCTCCAGGTGTGAAATAGCTCTCTAGTTGTTTTGCTTATGGAAGTAAGCAAGAGGTTTAACAACTTGTAGTACCAGATGCTGTTTGCATGGATGCTCAGGTTATGCTGGTTTCATTCTGTTTAGATACGTACACAAAGGCTCATACAGCTTTCGTATGAGCCATCTGGATTTGTCATCTCCTCTTCCCCAACCTCTGAAATGGTAAATTACTCTTCTAGTAAGAGGCGTTGTGTGTGATTTTATTTTGAACAACGCTGTTTTATATAAAACAACATAGTAGTATCTTTGCTTTTGGTGCATTCTTGTTACTGGGGTTTAATGACTTGATGCACCATAACATTCTAACTCAGTGGTCGGGGGTGGGGGGATGTGTGTGTTTGTGTGTGAAATGATTAGCACAAGTAACAGGACTTGATCTGCTACAATGTAATAGAAGTCACAGCTTGACACAGACCAAGTGTGATTACATAAGATGTGACCTCCATGTTACAAAAATAGTGTTTTCATTGACTGTTCTGGGCTGAAAATAACCATGCTTAGTAATACAGACTGTTAATTCTTATTAACCTTACAGCAGCCAACATAATGAAAGAAGTCATGCATGTACCTACTAAGCAGAATTTGTGTGCTAACATGAATCTTGTAAGTTGTAAGTGATGACCTATTTTGGCCTATGAATCTTTACTACCTATGATCATGGCCAAGCAAGCAAGAAGTTGGTTTGCCAGTCAGACCCTGTTTGGAGATTGCAGTACTGGCAGTCTTGGGTACAGTCCTCTGTGATATGGAAGAAATATCCCAGTAATACTGTGGTCTGTAACATCTTGTATTTCTTTTCTGTAACTATGCAAAATCTATTCATTTACATCTCTGCTTCTGTAAGTGCAGCTAGTAATTGCTTCTTAAAATTTTATAGTAAAAACATCCAGTTGCAGGAACAAGACATCACAGTTGCAAATGATCACCATTAGAAGTTCTAAAGGCACCCACAGATCAGTTGTGCTACCTTGGCAAAGCTTTCAGTTGACCTATGGTGTTTGAAAGCCATTGGTGCTCCTACAAGTCAGAAATTTCTGAAAATTAACAACCTTGAAATAGAGAGATTTATTTACTTACTTCTCAGGAAATGAAATCCATATATTTTTTTTCAGTTCTATTTTAAAATTAATATCCAAAATACTTTTCTGTCTACAAAGCTATTGGTTCCAGTAACTTTTGTCACAAATCATTGGTATTTTTAAATTTTACAGATATAGTCAAACATGCTCAATTTTGAACACAATTGAAAGTAGTAATTTGAAAAGTATTAAATAACTCATAGGTGCTTAAGTAGAACGTATTCCTCCATTTTCTGAAGTGCTTACATTTCTCCATACTGTTTTCCAGGTTATTCAGCGTCTGAGCTGCATGGCACTGAAGAACAAAATATTCCTTGTGGCAAACTTAGGAACTAAGCAGCCCTGTGAACACACTGATCCTCACTGTCCACCTGATGGAAGGTACCAGTTCAACACCAACGTGGCGTTCGATGATGATGGTACGTTGGTAGCCACATACCGCAAACACAACCTGTATTTCGAATACGCTTTTGATACCCCTCCAGAGCCTGACTACAGACACTTTGATACCCCTTTTGCTGGCAAGTTTGGCATGTTCACTTGCTTTGATATACTCTTTTTTGAGCCCGCAGTGAACCTCATCAGACAATACAATTTGAAACAAATTGTATATCCAACTGCCTGGATGAACCAGCTCCCGCTCTTGTCTGCTGTAGAATTTCAACAAGCTTTTGCAACAGCTTTTAATGTCAATATTTTAGCAGCTAATATCCACCATCCTACCTTGGGCATGACAGGGAGTGGGATATACACTCCAGTCAAATCCTTCATCTACCACAACATGGAAAGTTATGGTGGCAAGCTCATAGTAGCAGAAATTCCTGTGATTACCACGGATCATGAAACCAATTTGGAGAGTAATGAAAGATTCAGAGAGAACTTACATGGCTCATGCAGGACTTTTACGAGCACCTTGCTGGATGATCAAGTTTGCTTTAAGGAGCAAGAAGAGACTCCTGGCAAAATATCTGAAAAAGGAAATGAACAGTTACCTCCCCCATTTTATGCAGAAATGATGTATGACAACTTTACTTTTGTTCCTGTATGGGGGGAAAAAGGACAGCTCCAGGTTTGTGCCAATACCCTTTGTTGTTACTTAAATTATCAGAGAGCTGTTTTAACTGATGAATTATATGCTTTGGGAGTTTTTGATGGGCTCCATACAGTGCATGGCACATACTATGTCCAGGCCTGTGCATTAGTGAAGTGTGGTGGTCTCAGCTTTAGCACTTGTGGACAGGAGGTTACAGATGCCACTGCTCTGATAGATTTCCAGCTATGGGGAAATATGAGTACCCCTTACATCTTTCCTTTGCTGCTGACATCTGGTATTACCTTGGACTTTGCTGATCACATGGGCTGGAAAAACAATCACTATTTCATGAGCAAAAATAGAACATCTTCTGGCCTTCTGACAGCTGCTCTGTATGGACGATGGTATGAAAAGGACTAGCACAGATATTTTGAGTCAGAAAACAACTGCCCCTATGTTCAGAGCATTTATCTTAACAGAAGTTGTTGAACATCCACACTTCCTAGAGGTCCAGGTGTGTTTGTTAAATGACTGATTAAGTTCCACATTTGAAATGATAAGCAAAGCACCCTAAGAATCTGTAAGTACAGTCTGTACTGTGGTAGCTTATGTCTTACCAGAAGGGAAAGAACTGCCTTGCAAAGATAAAGGCTTGCTGTAATTTGGTGAGATGTTTTATATGGGGAAAACAACTCATTTCAACTGAATTTGTTCCTTTTAATTTAATCCTTTCGTTTTCTGGTGTTCTGGCTTGGAATGTGGAAATTAATGGAATGGAAAACTGTTGCAAGAGAAAAAAAAGGGAAGAAAGACACAAATACTGTGCATGACATGCACAAAAATATGTAGGTATACATACATAGAGCTTGTATGTGCTGAGGTTCTGATTTCTGGTTAGGGTGCCATGATTCTTTTTTTTTCTTTCTTCTTTTTCTTCTTTTCTGTTCTTTCCCTGCTAAACTCCCAGTTTTTTCATATGCTTTTAGCAGTATCTGAATGTTACAGTTGTAAACATCTACAGAATATCTAATCTGGGGAAGAGGATATCAAATGAGTGTGAAAAACATGACTGCAGTAAGACACTATTCCCAAGAAATTATGTTTACAGAAAACATTAACGATGAATATCAACAACATATGTTAAGTACTGTTTGAGTGCTTTAACTTTCCCTGTTTAAGAGAGAGGTAGGCCATTTCAAGACTGTTTTGACTTTAAGACATCTTAGCCATTGTTCATGAATTTATTCAAGAGGAGTTATGAAAAGCACATAATGAACTGAGGGACAGCAAGGCTTTTACATCAGTGCTTCATGTACCAGATGGCAGGCTCGTGCTGCTGAGTGAGGAAAACACACCATTCTTTCCAGGGCAATAACTAGATTAAGTGCTATAACTGTTCTACTGCAGTGAAGAAGCTGGGAAGAAAATATTCAAGGGATATTAATTTGGGGTTAAATTCAGACAAGTTAATGCATTCTCAAGCATTATAATTGTATATGGTCTTATTGACTGTTATGACTTCATCTGCTAATACCTGTTGAGTAATGGAATAAACATAACTGTTCTTTTGGTCCAGTCCTTGTGTTCCAGTTGCTCTGACTGTTAGTCAGGCCGAGAGGAGCAGAGCACTAACAGGAGACCTGTGAGTCTCCATTTTGGTGGTCTGAGTAGGTTCAAACTCCAATCACTATGGCAGGTACAAGTATGTGTGTTGAGAGGTGCTCCATCAGCTCCTGCTTTGAATGAACTCACTTTCTGGTTTCAGAAAGCAAAACAATGGAAAAATTGCTGAATTTCTACCTCAAGTTTTCTTAAATATTTACAAAGAATTATTATATAAATGTTAATGGTAGGGGTGGTCTATCAAACCTTCCTTCTCCAATCTGTATCACTGTGAGTCAGGTCCTTGTCAAACACAGCTTTGATACAGGGGTACAACAGGTTTGTTTATCCTGCAGCATATATTGGATAGATACATGGAGAGAGGAATGTCGATATCTCATTAGGCATAAACTTGCTGATATAAAAGTAGGCCATTCCACCACAGGATTACTAAAAATCCTTGTTTGGTACCCGTAGTGGTGTTCTTGCTGAAGGCTGCACGAATTCCAGGATGTACAGAGTAGAAAAGAAAAGCATTTGCAGTGCTTATTCATTCTTCAGGTTCCAGTACCACACAACCAAGTCTGAAAGAATGGAACAATGAACAACTGGAGGTTTCAGGACCCTCTGCTTTGGAGGCTGAAAAACATGCAGCTTTGTGCACTAAAATACTCTTTGGGATTTAGTTCCAAAGCAGACCATTGTCACAGTAAGGCTAAACAAGTAAATAGCATTACACATATTTCCTATGCTTAAGGAAAGAAAAAGTATTTATCTGTGAAATACTTGCAAACTGTGTCCCACAGAGCTGTTCTAACTTTGCGTATATTAAAACTGTTAGAAAACAAGATCTTCTGGCCTTACTGTTCGCGTGGGGCATGTTTCTCTGTCCCCTCCCTGAGAAGACCAGGCATTAAGTATTAGAGTGTGTTCTAATACCTTGTTCCCTTCACTCAAAAAAAGCAGCCTTTAGCAAAGGAAAAGGTTGAACAGACAGTATCAGACACAATGGATCAAGAGTGATTATCTACTCCCCCACCCATCCTGATCTTTGAGTAACAGCAGATGTATCCATTCTGAAATGGGGTGACCAGGCAGTAACCTATGATGCTCACTACCACACATTGGTAGCTTTTGGAAGTCTGTGCTGGAGCAGCAATCCCAGCACTGCCCTGTTCCCAAAAAACCCTGTATCCTCACTTACTGAGGAGGTGTGAGAAGTCTTCAGCAAGGCTGACATTCACACTCGTAACATACTGTAATGCAACCCATCTTCTAATATCTTTTCAATGGACATAAACAGTTTTATTAATGCTTTCTGAACCATTTCTGCCAGACAGTGGAACAAAACTGAACCAGAACACGAGGATCTTTTGACACATGGGAAGTACAGCTGAAGTCTAGAACAGCTTTAAATCACTTGGTCTGTCAACTGAAGTGAAATCAGGATTTGGAAATTTGTACTGACACCAAAGGAACATCCTTTCTCAGACAGACAGCAGGGGATGGTGTCTTTAAGGAGCCTTGACACTGCTCCTGGGAAGGGAAAGACAACCACAGAAACTGTCTGTCCAGGCAGGGTAACAGCACGCAAGTTAGAGGTGTTGGAGGATTCCTCATAAGGGATCTGCTGCTTCGGGATTCACAGTTTTCCAGGTGGATGTGGGGATACTCTGCTTACAGTGAGAGAAAACACCAGAAAGCACACCAAAGGAACAGCTGGCAAACAGGACCTCGGAGTTAAGTTATCAGGAGGGATGTGAACAGGCTGAGGAACTGGTGACACACTGGTACAATCTGTTCACAATGCCCCAGTGGGCATAAGCTCCTTTAGGCACATCTCGACAAGTGAAACCCCCAAATATGCACAAGTCGAAGTGAGTGCTATCACTCCAAGTTTTTAATAAGTCAACAGCAATGGAAATACTTCAGAGTCACAGTGCTCTCCTTCCTCCCTGCCCTGGGAGAGCAGGTGTAGGCAACACAGGTCAGAACCCAGGGACAATAATAGTACCCACAGCAGATCAAACAAACCCTTGGTAGAAGACATTAAAAATGTTCAACTCAGTAAGATGTTAATAGATTCTAAGACTTTTAAGAAAACTATGCAGGCAGCTTCAGTAACAAACCTCAGCAAGGGACAAGAAATGCATGACAAAATAGGACATGAATCATTAAGGTATCTAATCTATTCTTTTAACATAAAAAGAACCCCTGAGACCTCAGCCTTAGGCTTTGAGAACTAAGTCAGCTCCCAGGTACAATGAGAAGAAAACCTGCACGTCTGTCATTTGACAAGACTTGAAAGCAGGTTTTGTTTTATTCTGTTGTAAATCTGAACAGTGATAGTTCGAGCTGCTTCTGTTGAAATTTTAATGAAAAAAAGAAGAGAATGTAAGGTCTTTTTTTCCTCTTTAAATATTTAGTGACACTATCAATATGAAGACAGTTTGAAAGGCTCTTTAGGTTCTCTATTATTCAACTATGTTTACAGTTACATGGTGAAAAACTGCAAAATTCCTTTCCCAACCTCAGCTTGAAAACTGCCAAACGTAGCATGGAATGGAGGGAGCTTAGTTTATCCTAACATAAAATAACACACATCACACCAGGGAAGCATGGATAATTTAGATACTGCTTTATTTGAAGACAAATACAGTGCTAAAGAAATTGGGATAACAGGTTGGAAATAGCTGCAAGAAATCTTCAAGTACTGCAAGGAAGGATGCTCATCTTCTTCCCCTGTCAGGAATGTTCAGTTGCGAGATGGGTTGTAGAAACTGAAAATTTTAGTCACACCTGCAACTAATTTTCCCCCTGGAAAAGGAAACTGAAACACTCTTGGTCTTCCTGGGCTCCAGGCAGCTGAACAACTTAACAAAATGCTATTTCTGAGGCTGCCATTTCAGACCATTTTTCTCTGAGTAGGTCTTAGAGGACACACAGATTAGACTGGGGGCCTGGGTGACACTCACAATGTCCAGCCATTAACTCCTGTTAAGCAGTAAAACGAAGGGATTTTCATAATAAGGCTTACAGATCATCATAAACACAATAGTAGTAGTACTTTTCTTAAGGACAGCCAGTTATTTCATTATTTCAGATTAATGCACAGTAATATCTTTGCACTTAACATTCTTCAAAACATACAAATATTACAGTGAGAAAAGGACTCCAGAAAAAGCAAAAAGCCAATGCTATCAGCTAACAAAGAGGCCTGCACTGCATCTCTTCACATTTCATAGAATCATAGAATATCCTGAGTTGGAAGGGACCCACAAAGATCAATGAAGTCCAACTCCTGGCCCTGCACATGATCACCCCAAGAATCAGACCACATTCCCAAGAGCTCTTAACACCTCAGGTTTCAGTCTGTGAAGTTTGAAGACCCATGTTTTATAAATTCTTATCTTGTCCAGTTTAGAGTCACAGCTACACACTTACATTCAAAAAAGGTTTTTCAACCTCATCAGAATTCTTCTCCAACTGTCCTGTCAACTTCTGCAGCGTATTAAAGGATTATAAGGAAGTCATCACAAATCACTGAGATTACTACAAGAGGGAATAACCACCTATCTTGGATTTAAGGATTTATATGAATTTCCTCGACCAACTTTAAGAATTTAAATACTTACTTTTTCCTGATATTAAAATGAATTTTGCTGAGATTAAATCCAGATCTGTGGAGGTAGTGTTAAAAGTTTAAACTGCTTATTAAGAGATTAATAAAGGCCCTTCTCTCCAAAGTTATTAGTCTAACTCCAACCAGGACAGATTATCAGGAATTACTGTCATCAGGAATCAATGCTTTTTAAACAAAAGTGCCATGGCATTTCCTTTTGGAAGTGGATATGTACCATCAGCAGAGGCCCAGAACAAAGTGGTGGGAGATGAGGAGAGTCCTCCTGCCAGGTCCTCCTGCTGCTCCTGCAGCTGGAGCCTTGCCCACCCTGTGGTACACTGAGCCAAGGAGCACGGCCTCCAGTTCTCCAGAACTGCTGTTTCCATAAACACTTACCATTTTTATTTAGGTTTCAGTTTTTTAAGATGTGAACTTCACTGATCCAAACATGGAATTGAGTCGTATGGGCTCCCTGGAGACATCTAGAAGTGTTTAAAATGTCCCATGATTATGACAAACTTCTCACAAGTAAATGCTAAACAGTTCTATGTGCAGTATTCACTGTTGCTTACGATCT